ACATTTGGGCGGCATTATGCTAATATTTCCACATAGTGAGGTAGATATGTGGGGGCGTGTTAGAACGAGCCGTTTTAGGGGGGCATGGCAGAGTCTTAACTTTGATAAAGAATATCTCTTTGGTTTTGAGACTTTAGTCTTTGCAACTTCAGGGATCTTATCTATGCACAATCAGCTTGTAACACTCCAAAGAGAAAGGAAAACTTGAAATCGCATCATATGACCCCTTTAACATTTTTCCTGAAGTAATATTTTATTAGGGTATCTGTACTTTACCTCAAGTACTTGATTTGTGTACTTTGGCGACAGAAATGAAGAGAGAGAGAAAATTTTTTTTTTTGTTGCCCAGCGACAGCCCCAAAATATTACTGCTCTAGAGGAGATCTGCATGGAGGATTGGGCCAAAATACCAGCAACAGTGTGTGACAACCTTGTGAAGACTTACAGAAAACGTTTGACGTCTGTCATTGCCAACAAAGGGTATATAACAAAGTATTGAGATGAAATTTTGTTATTGACCAAATACTTATTTTCCACCATAATTTGCAAATAAATTCTTTAAAAATCCTACAATGTGATTTTCTGGATTTTTTTTCTCATTTTGTCTCTCATAGTTGAGGTATACCTATGATGAAAATTACAGGCCTCTCTCATCTTTTTAAGTGGGAGAACTTGCACAATTGGTGGCTGACTAAATACTTTTTTTCCCCACTGTATAACCTAGAGGATGCTTGTTAGTGTCACCAAGTGTATTTTCAGAAAGGATACCACCCCAGTGAGAGCTTTCTGAGTGTAGAATGTGTTGATTTCTGCTCAAATAACAGCACATAACATGTCTGACACAGAAGCACGCAGAAGTGTTGATCTTAAGCAGTGGTTTGGCTGGTTTATGTTGAATGAGGTCATTTTAAGCTGATCCACAGACATCATACTCAAGGTCAACACTCATCTTGTTTCATCTTCTGCCACTGTGCATTAAAACAATATAAAACGCTTAACGACACGCATCTCTCTCGCGCAAGCTGTAAACCAGCCAAACAACCCCTGATACATTTTCAATATTATTACATTAAACCGAGTTTGATTTATAATGTAATATTGGGCTAAGGCAAAACATCAATCATGGCAAGTATATTAATTATTTAATATTGCAGTGTAATGCAGGAATCGAAGCAAGTGTGTTCAGGGAGGAACGAGAGGGCTGAAAATCTGTGCTCCCCGCAGACCTGCAGGAAATGGACAGATAAAAAATAAAAAGATGTAGCTTAAAAAAATGAAAAGGTGAAGATGTACCAGTTCAATAAAAATTTATATTCATTTGCCGATAATGTCTTCCTGTGTCTGCACTCAGCAGTGCTGGGATTTGGTTTGAAGGCTCTAATTGAATTAGGACGCTTTTTTTCTGCACAGACGTGTGCCAAAGAGAGACAGATACAATTAGAAGAATACAGTAATTTAGCCATAGACGGGGGAAGCCGCTAAATGACCAAAAAAAAAAAAAAAAAAAAAAAAAAAAGAAGAAGAAGAGAGATGGAGGGAGGGTGCAAATATGATAAGCGCTTGTGAAATTGAATAAGTGATTATAAAAAGAAAACAGAATTAGTGTGATGAGGGGAAAGGAAAGAGAAGAGAGATTGTCTCTTTCGTGAGGAATGGTTTACCTCTAATTGTTCTTCATTAAAGGATTACAGCTCTCTGTCACCACCGTAACTTATTTTTAGTGAGTGCTCTAACACAGTTCTGCTGCATTAGTGTGTTACATTAGAATATCTGTTTGCTTGCGCTGGTCTTGCTGTGTTAAGATGGAAATGGTCACCCAGAAAAGCCATCGTCAGGTAGTGAAAGAATTTTAGTAGTGAAAGGTTGCTGGGGAAAGAGAGATAGATGGATGGATGGATGGGTTTGTGGAGGGGAGAGGGGTGGAGTGGGTTTCACATGGGCTTTTCTGTCCCTGATTACTGGAGTCATTTCTGAGCTGCCAAGGGCTAGTTAACATCATGTTTCCTAACCGTGCTTCTTTGTCAAACATATGCACACACACACACACACACACAGTGTTTGCCACAGTATCATCTTTGTATCTTTTTTGTCATTACCTTTTTATATTCAGTAAGTTCCATGGCACCTGTTCTGTTTACTTTAGTTTAGAGGCCTTTAGTCTGTTTCTGTCCTTTCACACTGTAAAAAATGACCGTGAATTTAACGGTAAAAGACTGTAAAAATGCTACCTTTAAAAACCTGTTAAATGTTTAACGGTAAGTTCCCCTACTATATACACGGTGAAAAACTGTATTGGACATTACATGTAATTTTACGGTAGTATACCGTTTTTGGAAGTGAAAAAGACAGTTTACAATTATGGGGGTGGTTACATAAACCGCTTGGACTAGTCATAAAAAGTCAAAAAAAAAATTCTTTAAGGCTGGTCATAACTTGTAAAGTGAAATGGTCTAATTTGAATTCAAGATGTAAGACTGATTACCTCTTTGCATTAGTTTTTAAGACTCCGTCTTAACATAGTGGCTATGCTTATGCAACTGGCTCCTGAGCTTAACCTTATTAAAAGTCTTGAGGATGTGCTGGTTTCTTGAAGCGTCTTGGAGACTAAGATGATAATACAAAAATTAATAAGTCTCAAATTGTGAAATAGTGGTTTGGTGATTATGAGACGTAATTTTCACGTATGAATTTTCACTGGGGGTGGTTACATAAACCGCTTGGACTAGTCATAAAAAGTCAAAAAAAAAAATTCTTTAAGGCTGGTCATAACTTGTAAAGTGAAATGGTCTAATTTGAATTCAAGATGTAAGACCGATTACCTCTTTGCATTAGTTTTTAAGACTCCGTCTTAACATAGTGGCTATGCTTATGCAACTGGCTCCTGAGCTTAACCTTATTAAAAGTCTTGAGGATGTGCTGGTTTCTTGAAGCGTCTTGGAGACGTTGTCACAGTTCTTCTGGATTTAGTCTGTCTCAGTTTGTTCTGTTTCTTCATGTGACTCCAGACAGACTGATGATGATCAGATCAGATCTCTGTGTGGAGCGCTGGCTGCCGTCAGACAAAAATATCACTGGATTATTACAATTAATGGCTAAATGAATGTTTGGAAATGTAAACTGATATTTCCCACTGACACACTACAGCAAAAGATAGAAATAACTGACTTGAAACCATTTTTTAGCTGGTGAAAATACTAGTGGCCTAAGACTTTTGCACAGTACTGTACTGTACATGGGTATACTGTATATGACATGGTTGTTTGAGGAATGAAAAGCTACACACTGCATCAGTTACGGTTAAAATAATTGTTGCCCAACATACAACAAGCCAGAAACATATTAACCACTGCACTAATATTTCAATCCTAAATCACACATATTTGCTTATTTAAATCCAGGCGGCGATTTTTTTTACTTTTTATTTTTTTGGAACATGAGTATCAATGATTTAATGAGACACTGAATGGTTATTTAATGTAAACACACCCACACAGCATCTGTGTGCATCATTATTCTCATGAAGACCAGCTGTCTTTAACCGGTGGCATTTCTGATTTCCTCTCTAACTCTCTCCACTTGTAATTGTTTTAAAGAGAGTAAATGCCCTTTTAAAATCTCCTGCCCTCATGGAGCCCATAGATCATGAATTGATAAATACAGTAAATCTATTAAATACAGTGATTATGGCTGATCCGTGAGAGCAGGAGAACGAGTGGGAGCTCAGGGGGACGAGACGCTTGCTGTCTTTGCGTTATTTACAGTGGAGCAAATTTGTTCTTGTGTTGCAGGGAAACAGGGAACATCAAAGCTGGATTGGAACATCTGGTAAGTTCTGTTTCTTCCCCCCCTTCAGTGGTTTCTCAATCTTTGATATCTGCATCCAGAATGAATGTTCAGCAATTGCCTTTGAATAGCTTGAGCTGTCAGACAGACTCAGAGGTCTCTCTATAACTCCCACACGATTGCCTGGGTTTTCATGTCAGTCGCTCTTTCGTTTGTCCCCTTCCGCTTATTTTTAATTTTTGCTTTCGTCTTTTTTGCTAAAAGTTGTGGTGTTAAATAATTTCTTTCCCCTGTAAGGATGATGTGTGTGTTCTGGAAATGATTTTTGAGTCAGTAGGGCGATTCAGCAGTGGAGCGTGTGTTTGTTTTTATCTGTTTCCTCAAGCTGTTCAGTTTCCAGTTGAACGTTCGTTTGCCGTACAGCTCGCAGATTCATGTCAGGCACACGTTACCTCTGAACACATCTGGAAAGATCACAGTGTCTTCCCTCTTCTACCTTCCTGCCTCCATCTCTCTGGATGTAGGGCACACTGTTGGCCCTTAAAATGAGCCCTAGGGAATGTTTAAAATTGTAACGTCCGATATTTCCTGGGTTTTCTGCAGCCTTTCTAATCCAGGGTCAGAGTGCCATGCACTGGAGTTAAAGGGCTGCTTTTCTCCTCCTGGGTGGAACCGAGTTTCCATTTCTGCTGTTTTTTTCTGCGGGATGAATAATGGAGAGAGGTCACAGTGGGGTCCTGACTCTCTGAATGTACACTCACCTCCCTCAGCTCCACACCCTGAATATTAAACGCAGGCCTGGCCCTTTAAGGGTCACTCAACACACCTGACCTTAATCCTTATCAATTATCATGCTTATTTTCTCAAATCAAATCTTTATCACATATTCCCGCTCATTCCTTCTCAAGATCTCCACTGCTAAGAAACCCTCACATTAGTGCTTATAACAAATCAGAAGTTGAGTAATCTCAAAAACTTGAGGCATCCAAATTCAGTTTATGTTTTGGGGTAAAAACTGTTGTTAGCTTAACAATAAAGACTGGTCTGTGCTTTCACTGCAAAACCTAAAATTGCATGTTGACTTGTTGCATTGAAAATGTTTGACTCAATTGAATTATCTGAACATTGTTAATTTAGTTGAACCAACTGAAAAATATCAATGCATCAAGTCAACACAAAATTGAGTTTTGACCTCCTTAAATCTTTTACAGTGTTCATTAAACACAGCACCGAACCAAGTATGTGTATCGAAAGTGTGAATCTCACAGAACACTAATCACCCCAATGGTGACGTAACATTTACAACAAAATATAATCATAAACTACATAAAGCCAAGACATTTATTATTTACATATTTATGTTATCATAAGTCCCCATTCTTTGCCGAAATGCTAATTATTCAAGTACGTCATCAGTGATCAAACTGAGCAGCTCAGCAGCCTGTTCTTGCTCAAACTAAATGGCTAAAAGTTGCTCAACTAAATCGTTTAAAAACTATTTTATGCAACTTTCTCTACATTCAATAGTTCAATTAACCTTTAAAATAGAGTTTGTCTGACAATACAAAGGCTGGTTGATTTTATTTATGTAGTTTTGTTTTATTTATTTATTTATTTTTTGTATGGTATATAATTGTGTTTTGCTAGTTTATCCTGAACTATACTTTTGTGGATGGGTATAGACACTGCATCCCATCCAATACTCAGATTAGAGGTCAGCAGATATGTGTTTTTAAATTTTAATAGCCAGTATGTTTAAGATGCAACAAAATACTAAGTTACTTACTAGCCCTATGCTCAACCATAAAGTGTTGTGCTCGTCACAGAGAAGTGATGAAATATCCATAATGTGAATGGATAACAGAGTACTTTCTGGTATTTTTGGTGTTGCATGTAATAAATCACATTATATTTGCAAAAATAGCGTAGATAATCCACAACATTTATTTTTCAAACCATGTTTTGTGCCAGCTGTTATAATCAAAGGTCAGTGAAATATGACTGCAGTATATCATTGTGCCATACAGCATAATTCACAGTCAGTATTATTTTATTACAATATTATTGCCATTGTTATTATTTTATTCATATTTGGAATTACAGACTAAACTAGGGATGCATCAATCCAATACTCAGTATCGGTATCGGTTATGATACTAACATTTTCTGCAGGATTGAGTATTTCCAGAGAATGAAGCATTTTTTATTCATTTTGACTGTGTTGCAGGTTAGTGTGTAATTAACTCATCTTCATTAGGATAGAGAGATGGACAGATGTAGAGGGAACAGAGGATGAAAGGAAAGATAGAACAGGGCTGATGGAAGGAGAGATTTGACAGAGGAGCGAGTGAAAGGGGAGGAGAGTTTATGAGCGCATGCATTGATCTACAGCTGTATAAAAGCACAGTGAATTATTGAAAAGGAGATTACATGCATAACCCTCTTGAATCAATATGTCTGTTCGAAAAGAGTCTCTCTCTACATGTGTCAAGTTAATAAATTAATTAATTAATTAAAAAATATTTAAAATAAATAAAGTATCTTAAATGGTATCATGTATGTCTTAATTATTTTAATATGTGATATTGTGTATTTGGGGATAGAAAAACAGGAATGTCAAACCTTGTATTAAAATAAAATGTGTTAATACTGCAAATTTCAAAGTCCAAATGTGGCACTGTTCTGCAGGTTCGCTGTATCAGAGCAGTTCGCATTCGCAATCGATAAATACTGAGCGTTTATGATCTTCTGCTGATGAATTAGGACAATGGTTAGTTGCTGGTGTTTATATTGTAATGTGTTGTAGACTGTCCTAATCTCTCACATGTTTTGAAATGAGCAGCCAGCAATAGTAAACCATAGACACTTCAAAATAAGAGTCTTGGTCTATTCAAGGCTTGTTTATAATTAAAGGTCCCACCATCTTTTTTCCTGGTTATTATTGGTATTTTGATTACAGAATAAACATTCTCTGGCATTTAATTGAAAGTAAGATAGTGTAGCTTTTGAATTATTTTAAATAAATTAAATCATTTTGCTTGTAAATGTCTAATTGTATCCCTTTATTAAGGGAAAACAAAACACTTTTTTTACTGTGCACCTTAAAATTCTTAATGTGTTCTTACATTTTCTCACATTTACAAAAGTAAAGCGTCAATCCTCAGATAAAAAATCCTTGCCTTTTCATAGTTTCTCATGTACTGCATATTCCATTTAGTATAGCAAAATGTTACCGATAACAGCTGATGGAAATGCTAATTATTAATAAAATGTATTGAGACAATCTTTTTTCTTTAACTTTGTTAACTGGGACAGTACTTCAAATGTCACCAAAAAAAATAATAATTTGGAAAACCTTTTTGTTAGGCTTTACTGCAAATGATTGTAATATCAAGCCCAAAGCATTTCGTTTTGATGCAAATGCTTAGTGTACATATACAGCTGAACACATAGCCTTTCAAAATATACTCCATTTGATATTGTGTAAACACAGGCGTTCGACAAATGCAAACTAGAAAATGTCATCGTCCAGTGTCTGCGCTATTTCTCTCCACAAGTTATAAGCGATGAAAAACACGTTTCTGTACTCATTTAAAAGAGTTGAGTGCACTTGTTAAGCCCCTCACACTATGCTGATAGTGACATTTACATGCTGTACGCTTACTGTAGTGTATGTGTAAAAACTGAAGTATAATTTGGGCTTCACATGACAAAATTGCAGTGTTACTGCCTTTGCAGTGCTGTTAAATCTATTCAGACTTCAAACACAGTGTAATGGTCTGAAGAAAAAAACATTTATTTTTATTTTTTTATGGTGCCATGGACTTTGCATATTACAGCTTTAAAATGTTAAATGTGTTTAAAATGGCATTTTCACCATTGGATGTAAATTGAGATGTGATTGTCTGTAATACATGTACAGTATGTTACTGTTAGTAGATTCATTTGATCAACTAGCGAGAGTTTATTTTGAGTAAATATTGAAATGAATGTCAGCAGCGGTAGTTGTGTTTTTGGACTTTATTTGTGCATTAAATGCGACGAGGTGGTAGTTCCAATAAAACATGCCAACACGCGAGTCTGCCAGATCTACGATTCCTGAAAATCTGAATATGTGAAAATTGCATCTGAGAATTTATTGTCGACTTTATAAAAGCTGGTAGATTGCGTCCGCTCGTCAGACAGCAGGTGCTGCAGTATTTTATCAAGATTTGTGTCGATGAACAGTAAGTCTACACCCCCTGCATCCCTCCCCGAAATACAGTCACATTCACCCTGCAAATATGAGCCATAAACAGCCCCGCTTCAGATCTACCCGTGTTAAAAGACGGCAAACTTTACAAACTCTAGACGAAGGCAACTTTTCTAACGATCTTAAAAGTAGCTACTTCTAATCTTGCTTTTCCAAAAATATCCACTTACTGAAACTGAACTGTATTTCCCCAACATTTTCAAGAAAATTTGTATCTTCTTAATTTTGCCGAATGGCGAATGCAGTTTAGCTGGCAAGTCACATTTAACCTTATTTTTTTGTGGGACTTTTATGGTGATGCTTATTAGCTTTTGTGTGGAAAAAACTGAGGATGTTTATTTGTTTTTCTGTGTATGTTTTTGGTTTATTGCTTTACTGATCTCTCTCGTACAATTTTTCTTTATTATAGAGGCCTGAATCTAGCTAGATCGGATGCACGGCTAAATAAATTTAAAAAAACAAAGTGAGCACCCTCTATTACTGTAGTTTGATCTGTGTTGGGTCATTCTGTCGTAATCTCATGTCTATCAGCTTTAAAAATACAGAAATGATATGTAAAACTGATTTCCCCCATGGGTTTTAGCTTTTGAGGCCTTGTTTATATGTAATGAATTATTTACGATTCATATTAGTACCAGCGATTGCGAGAAACGGCTCTGTTTTGGCTCTATTACTTAATAATAGATTTATCCCATAGCATCATCAAAAGCACCTGTCTTCCTCGAACAGAACGAGGGAAGATCAGGGCTTTAAAAATCAATGGAGCATCAGAAAGCGCGCGGCCTCCAGC